GAAAACCTTGCTGGGGTTGTTTGACCCCAGTACTCTTTCCTGCCATGGCAGGGGGTTGGACTTGATGATCTACTCAGGTCCCTTCTGACCCTACCAACTATGAGGTTGTAAAAGCAGATGAGCAACTGCTTTCAGTAATAAATGTGCCAGAGAGAGCTGTGTGCAAAGCATGGGTTTAGATCCATGCAGACTTATTCTTTCACTAGTCCCAGGCTAAGTACAGACAGTTAAAAATTCTGAGGCTAAATCAATTCAATATTTGCAGGTTAGTCTAAGCTGCATAGACAAACCCATAAGCAAGTGAACAGACATTCACTTTTGATTCCAGAATTGCAGCCACATGCCTGCAGTGGCCCAGGCCAGAAGCCAGGGGGCACCAGAGCACACCTCCCTGCTCAGCTGGAACAGACAGTTTGGGCAAAGGCTAGCCTGCCCACCCTGTGAGGGGATGGTTTGCATGGGAGGTGCAAAGCATCCTGGGGTGCTGGGGGACTGAGAGTTAACTTGAATTTGGAGGGGGTCTGGGACAGATTTTCAATACACTGATTTAACTTAAATCAGTTAAGTATGATACTATGTTCATACAGATTTACCTTAAACTGGTTTTGGGCATTTTGAAAGTGGTTTATGTACACTGAACTTCTGTTCAGTTACAGATTTGAACCTGTTTCCAATCACTTATACTGGTTTGTGTGTAATTTCTGTCCTTGGCCCCTGGGTCTTATTCTTCCCCCATTCTTTGAAATCTTGACCATCTAAGGGAGGTCATTTGACTATCTGACTATGTAAAGTAGAAGACCTGTGTGTGAAATGATACTAGAATATAGTAGTTTGGTTGGTTTCTGATTTTTTGATTAGTTGTCAATGTGGAAAGCAGATGAACTTGAATTCCTTGATGAGTGTGACATTCATCCAGAAATCTGGATTCCAAGGCAGGGCAATTTCCTATAAAACCCTGCTGCAAGGAATATTTGGTTCACAGAGTCTTTTCTGCAAAAATCCTTCCAAATGCTCCCCACCTCATTAAGGTCTATGAGTCATTTCTGTGGATTCAAGTTTAATTCATTTATTAGTCTCTACTGTAATAATAAAACTAGAGATACCTGTGACTTTACAAGCTGTCACAAAAACACAACTTGGCTACCTGGAAATTCACAGCAGGACCCCCTCACATGGAAGATCTCACCACTTGATCTAAAGGATGATGGCTCCTAGCTTGTAGCACAGCTCCTAATGAAAAACAATTATGGACAGGCCAGGAAAAATAATTTATAAGATAATTTTGAAGAAGCAAGCACCTGTCATGGGGCACAGCACATAAGGGATGAAAAGAAACTCCTGTCTTGTCTTCAACGTACGTGGAAGAGAAACCTCAATGTGCGACACCAGCAAACATAGCATTCAGCTGGATGGAATAGATGTTAGAATAAACGGTTTTATCATGCAAAAAAATGCAGTCAGAAAGAAAAGAAAAAAGGGCAGGGGAAATCCAAAAGCAGACTATGAGCAATGACTGCTACAGGCAATGTACTCCATTAATTGGTATCCTTTGGTTTGTTATTACTTTATTATTTTGGCAGTACATTTTCTTAGGAATGTCCATGTAACTTCAAGTGATCAAGAAAATAGCATCACTTAGATTGCAATGTGATAGCACAAGGTCTGTAAAGGCAATTACAATGGTGTGCATAATTAATATAAATATATAGGGACTTTATATTACAAAAGCCCTATTCAGTGGCCTCTGAAATCAGCGGAGTCTTTCCTTTGATTTCAATGGTGGTTTGATTTGGTCTACGGAGACTTGAAGTTTTACATGTCCTAGTGATGGGAATAGGTTAGAACCTAAGCTAGGCAGAGAGTAAAATCTCCTACTTTACTTAGTAACTCTCATCTAGTTAAATTAAAAAACCAGTCAGACTGAACTTACCTTTTACAATTATTTTAACAGCCAGGAAGTCTGCTGAAGAAAACGCTTCTTATAAAGAAGGCAGAGGGGGTTCACCCAGATCACATAGGAAAAAGTTTCCTATAAGCACCTTTAGTTGGGAATGTCTCTGCTGTCATTCCTGAGACGAGGGAAAAAGAAACCAGAGGTGCCTTCATGCCAGAGGATCTTTCAAAAACCCAGCAAACCTCTTCTGCAGAATTACCAGACTTTGCTGGAGATGTGCTTGAAGAATAAATGCTTGTTTGAGGATGATGACTTCCTGGCTGACCTGAGTTCTATTGGAAGAGGTCCACTGTTACAGAAACTTCCATCAAAACTGCAGTGGAAGAGGCCACCTGTAAGTGATATTCAAGTGAATTGATTTTATGTGAGTCAATGTCATAGATGGATGAGCAGTGTTACATTATTTTTGGAACAACCTGTTTGTAGGTTTCCATTTAGTTAAACCTACCAAAGATGTTCATTTAAAGGGTACCCCTTCTGACAGGCACCATTTGGCAGGAACAGAGCCAGTTACAATTTTTAGGGGCTTCCGCTAACAAGTGGATATAAAGTTGACTTGAGCCCCTACCTAGAAACCTGGGAAAATTACATTACACATCATGGCACTGGAGAGAGAGCAACATACATATAGAATCCTTCTGAAAGTCGCATTCAAAATTATCTGCAAATTTTTGAGCCACCAATATCTCTTTACGTCATTGTGTCTTCCTGTGAATCTCGCCATTTGACAGAAGACTATATTCATTGATCATGTCAAGGTACGGTCATCAGTTCTGGCTTGCTTACAGAAGAGCTACATTCCCCCAGATCCCATTAACATTAGTAGGATCTGTAGCTGCACCTTCCGAAATCAGGCTGCAAGCAGTAGATGTAGCAGCCCCTGTTTTCAAGGGTTCAGCTGTAACTCAGTTATGTAAAATTCAATGCATGTGAAGACATGGCCTGAAGATGGGTCCTGAGCAGTTAACATACTTTGTTGGAACTGATTTGTGCCTGTTTGCCCCTTTAAACAAACAGATGTAAAATTGCCAACTTTTGAACTCACAAAAAAGCTTCTACCCTCAGAAGCCACAGGGAGTTGGGGGCACCTGTATTAAAGGGTAAAGTTTTAGCCATTTCTGTTTTCAGCCTACATTTTGCTTACTCCAAGATATAGACTAAGGTTGGAATTCTGTTGCTCTTTATATGACTAAACAGCAGTTTTTTAGCTATGTACATGACCTGTCTGGCACTTCTGTACACTTTGTAATTCTATTACCCTCTATCACCCATAGAGTATGGACACACAATGTATGTAGATGTACTGTGCATGTTCAGTGGGCTATGTTTGCATGGCCAGTGTATGCACATAAGTCATGAAATTTTAGCCACACTAAAACCCTTGTTAGATGCTAAAAAACAAGAGTTTAGATGCTCCCCTCTCAATAGCTGAATGGTAAGGGCAGTTGCTCAGGAAGTAGGAGAACTAGGTTCCACCTTACCTCTCAGGGGTTTTGAACATGTCTCTCAAACTTCCCAGCCCAGTATTCTAACCAGCACACCTCAGGCTGGGCATTTTTTGAAGTTGGCCTCCTGGACAACTAGGAGGGGAGATATGTAGGGCCGGAAGGAAGAGAACAAAACTGAAGTTGTATGTCTGAATGAGGTGGCTGTTGCTCTGGAAGGGAGTAAGCCCTGTGTTTTAGTCTGGATCCTTGCTCCCACTGGGGTAGAGATTCAGTACTACTTTCCACTAGGGCTGTCAATTAATCATGGTTAACGCACATGATTAATGCATTAATCGTTCACGTTAATTTTTTTAATACATTAATCGCACAGATGGTTTTGGAGCCTATGCCTGGGCTCTGCTTCACCACCATCACTGCAATCTCTGGGCCATCTAATGGGGCAGCAGTGGGAGTGCAGAGGACTGCAGGGCAGCTTGGGCACAGGCTCTGGGCAGCTCCAGCGGTATGGGGGAGTGGTGCACACAGACACAGACACAGTCACAGCCTACATGTGGCCAGGAATGCAGCCCAGCAGTGTGTGGAGCAACATCCAGCAGACTAGTCTATGAAGGGGAAGGGGCATGGGTGGGGATAGATCGAGGCCCCCATGGTAAGGGAGGAAGTGGGGCAGAGGCAGGGGTGAATGGGGCCCCAGGGCTGGGGTGGGTTGTGGGATGGAGCTATGGGCGGCTCATCCAAGGGTGTGGGGGGGCCTCCCACCACTATGCATACCGCCAGGGAAGGCATGGGGGGCATATGCTCACCAGATTTGTGCATAGGGTAGTCAGGCTGGGGCTCTGTGCCCCACTGCTTTTGCTCCAGGAGCTGCACGCTGCCTGTGCTGCATCCCCTGCCTGCCTAGTGGCAGGAGGCACGTGGCATTGCATGGCTCCCACAGAGCCCAGCTCACAGCCCACCTCTGCCCCATGCACAAAGCCGGTGGGTACATGCCCCCCCGTGCCTCCCCCCAGGGGTGTGCATAGTGACAGGAGCTCACTGTGCCCCTGGATGAGCTGTCCATGATTGTCCCATGACCTGCCCTGGCCCCAGGGCCCCATCTACCCCATTCCCTGCCTCTGCTCCACTCCCTCCCTCACTGTTGGGGCCTCGATCTGCCCCACCCCCACCCTCCCTTGTGTCCCTTCCCCTCCACACACTTACCTGCTGGGCCGTGTCTGTGTATGTCTGTGGGTGTATCTGTCTGTCTGTCTATATGTGTGTCTATCTGTTTAGCCACAGCCCCTTCAGCTCTGCTGCTGCCCCTCACTCCTGACCCACAGTACCCCACATCCTGCCAGTGTACACAGGAACCCTCCTCCCTGGGCTCCAACCCTGCCACCCCACACACACACCCACAGCCCCCCACACCTTCACAACTCCCCCCCCCACACCCACCTTCCAAAATACAAAATACCTGCATAGTTTTGCACAACTTTGAGTTTTTCCTGCACATAATTTTGAGTTTTTATCTGTGTGATTAAAATTGTGATTAATTGCAACTACTTTTTTTAATTGTGCAACTAATCTCAATCAAAATTTTTAAATCATTTGACAGCCCTACTTTTCACCCATTTCATCCTATTATATGCAAGGTGCAGAGGCTCAGCTTCAAAAGGAACATTGGAGAAGGGACTAGAGAATGCCTGACCTATGGCATGCAAGGTTGTTTGGGTAGATGTCATATTTTTTATTAGACCAACTAACCTATGGTATGTTTGAGCACTGCACAAGAAGTTAGAGTTAAAGCTGTGTCTTTGTATCGGTAAGGGTGGTTTATAATTCGCATTTCCCACTTACTGGGAAACTTGGCCCTAACCACTGAACTATTGGGGCTAGAAGATAGGTGGGGCCTCCTCCAGTTTTGAGTTGTTTTTTTTCCCTGGGATTTACAGCACATAAAACTGCATACAGGCCTGGCTAGTGTGTAGCCTACTGAGCATGCTTATTATACAATGCATGCTTATACATCCACACTTCACAGCTAATAGAATTGAAAGTGTGCTTAAGTGACAAAAAGGCTACTTCCATTGCTAGGTAAGTACCGTTTGGGTGCACAAAGGACAATAGAATTCCACCCTAAAGCTTTCCTGTTTTAACAACATTCTGATCAGTGGGGCACTTTACATTAGAAAACCATTTTCCTGCATTCATGCTCACTGGAATGACTTTCAAGATTTATTTGACAATTTTACAGCATTTGGAGTTTCTGCAGCATTCATATACGCCGAGTAAAATATCATCTTGATTTGATATATCTGTGCATTAAGATAAGAATAAGCCTCAATCTCTCTCTCTCTTAAATGGAACCTCTTTGCATGTTTGTGTTAAGATTCTCACTATATTAACTGAACATTTTACAAAAAGAAATCATCGGAAGCATAACTCCCTCCTGCTCTCACCACTTTGCATCTCTTTTCTTCTTCACTTTCTTCTAGCCTCACATCTCTTCTCTTCTTCTGCTGCTGTGTAGGAACAAGGGACTGGGTCACAGGAGGCGTCTCTTATTGGTTAGGCCTCTGCAGGAAGGCAGGGGCTAGTGGCCGAGTTGGGGTTTGGGAGCCAGATTGCTCCTGGATTTCCCTCCCTAGATCTGGCAGAGTTCAAAACACAGGCCAATGTCAGGGTCCAGGAATCAGTTGCCAGATCCAAGGGACAATCCACAAGCCAGAGTCCAAGAATGGAGACAAACAGTGTCAGGAAACTCGTCAAAAGAGAAATCCAAAGCCAGAGTCCAGGAGAGGACCAAACTGGGGTCAGGCACCTGGAAAACCAGAGAGTACAGAAACCAGGAGGCTTACCAAAACAGACCTGGACCAGAACCTTTGACTGGGCCCCAATCTGCTGACGCAGCTGGGACTAAGTGGGTAGGTGCCCCTCCCAACATCCAGTCAGGAAGCCAGCCAGTTAATTGGCTGGGACAGAGCTTGTCACCAGAGACTCAATGCACGTGTGGTTGCCTAAGCATTTAGCCCAGGCTGGGCTGTCTGCTAGAGTCCCTGACCGTAACTTGTGTTGTAAGGTTGTCTGACTGATTGTGCCTAGCTTCTTTGCAATTAGCCCACACTATTTACTCATCCCAGGACAATATATAGTTACTTCTCTCTGAATATGGGACTATTGGAGGCATGAACAGAAGTTCTGCTGGGTACAGAGGCTGGAGTTACAAAAATAGTCATAAAGGAGGACGAAATGATTGACCCAGTGTAAGTTCTAGCTGAAATCCTCATGACGCTGCCATAACAATTCTTCACAAGGGAGCCTGCTATTGCTTCTCATTTGTTCTGATGCTATGCTTAGCCCAGCAAAAATTCTCTGGGGAAAATTACCATGCTTCTTTCAGTCCCAACACTGCAACACTGCAGTGAACATGCCGAGATTTCTGCCTTCAGTCGGTGGGCATATGACGTGCTGTGTCTGTGATACTGACCGGTATACAGAACACCCAGTTTCACCAGGGGTAGGGACTAGTGTCTAATTACTAGAATTGGCTTCTGAGGGGTTGCCATCTCTTTGTAACTGCCTGAGGCAGAAGCCAACAGCATGACAATTAGCTTGAGCAATTTGTGGGTCATAAAAGTGAAACAGAAGTTTGACATTTACATTATTAATTTGACCCCAGAGGCATTTGTGAGACAAGAAGTATAACAACATATTTTCTCTCCGAACAGTAATTCCAAGAATCACTGGTTACAGACAGAGCGCTCTTTGACAGACATCAGCTAGTTTTTTTAGATTTTCTGCTCCAGTTATTAGTCATGTCAGCTGAGAAGTAGCTGGCGGTATCCTCTGTTGTGAACCATGTCACTGAGATCCTTAAATTAATGTATTAAGAGTCAGTATTCTGAGCAAAAAGCAGCTTTGTAGAACTTTGTGCCAAAATCGTTTGTTAAGAAATGGAATTAAGGTTGAGAACTTCTGTCAGTAACTAAAGGGTGAAAAATATAGAGATTGTTATAATTAGCCCCCAAATAAGCATTTTGGGTCCAGGAAATCCAAAGGTATAACCTTATGTCTAAAAGAAATCTACCTACAAATGTGGCCTATATTTATATAACAAGTGGGGAAAAAAGGAGAATCCTGCCCCCTTATGTATGTCATTCAAAATCAGCTCAATCTCATGCAGAACCCGAAAGAGCAAAAAAGCCTTAATTTTGCTCAAAAAAAGTAATTGTTTGATTTCAGGTGCAGAGACTGACCTTTTTGCCAGGAGCAGTGAGGTGACTTCTAGAACTTGTCTATCTGGAAGAGTTGTGTCAGTTATACTGGTATGGTTAAAACTCATATAGCTATACCAGTATAACTCCCCACCCAGACTTATTTCAGTTTCAGAGCTAATTCAGTGTAGCTGAAATCTTTTAAAGAGACAGTCGATAAACTGAAATGACAAACATAAACTGGAATAAGAGTCTCTACGTAAGGAACTATACTGGAATAATGATAGCACAGTAAGTGTAACTTACTTTACAATGTTATAATTTCCAGGTACAGACACGTCTCTTAGAAGCATTGAAGTTGAATGTCAGAGTTTTGCCTTTAGAGACCTTTGAATACACTGAAACTCATTTTAGTGGCATTGCAGTCAGTTCAAGTTAAACAGTTAAACCCTTGAGATTTTGCAGGACCTATACAATGACTTTTTGTTGGTTTTGTTCCAAGGAGTTACATGAGAATCCGGTATTTTATGCTGCAAATACAAGACGACTTGATATTTGCCAAGGACTGGTGGGTAAGTGTTTTTTCTTTTGTACACACATTTATACCTACAGACAAGATCGTGATTGTGCTTAATTTGGACTGTGCTATCCTTCATGAAGGAATTTAAAAGGTAGTACAATTTTGGTCCCGCTCTTTATTACATGGATTAAGTAATCATAGAGTCATATAAAATATACTTAACAAAACAACTCACGTGAGCTGCTAAGATATGATCCACAGGGTAAAATGTGTCCCAAATCATTGAAAGCTCTGTGGTGTACCCTACATATTATGTTTACATAAGTTGGTGCTGGAATATTAAACAACCTGGTCTTTTTACATGTCTGTAAAGTGCAGACTTATCAATGGCACTAGGTGAGTAATAATGATGCCAAAAACTTCCTTATTGTGTCTAGTTAGAAAGCATATATTAGAGGCAAGGATTTTTTGGTGGTGTTATTTATTGGACTATATAGTTGGGAATGAAATTAGACAGGTAGTCAAATAAAAGATATCACCAGAAAAAAGCATTGCCTCTTGTCTGTGTCCTGTACTATCCTGCACTCCAACCCTACAAAACCACATATTGTATTTCAAACTGTATAGGCCGCAGAAGGGTCTGTGACTACTGCAATATGCATGAATGTCGCATGCCCCCAGTGGCTGGGGGGGCATGGTAGCAGCGGGAGTGCAGTGGCAGGAGCGTGGTGGCAGTAAGCAGGGGAGCTCCTGCAGACGCCACTGGCACTGTTGGCGCAGGATGGCAAGTGGTGACTGCCCACAGGCACTGCCGACAGTGTTGGCGGCACCTTTTTGCAGGGGGGTACACCGCCATGCTCAGGGAGTGCACATGCATCCTCTATGCGTTGCCCTGGCAATAAATTCTTGGAGGCAGAAAACGGGAAGTTTTGCAGCTTTGTTGTCCATCCTGATTAACATCTCATATCAGTGGGCAAAAAGAGGCTACAGTAATTTAATGTATGTTTGTGAAGAACTGTCATCCTCTTATGTGAATGTTATCTAGGCGATAGAGCTGGATGGTTATGACTTCTTCCCAGCTTCACTACTGCTTTACTACTTGGAAAAGTCATCTTTGTGCCTCAGTTTCCCTAAGTTAAAATATTATAACAATACTTACCTAAGATATATGTTTTGAGGCTTAATTAATTAATTAAAGCTTAAAGTGCTTGAGATCCTCAGACACAAAGTTTGATAAGTACTGACCAGTATTATTGGAGCTGGTCAGGAAAAAAAATTTCTCTCTGAAAAATTACAGGTATTCACAGAAGAACTTGTTTTTCTTGGCTGTTTGATTGTGGAAAACTAAAAGAAAATGTTTTCAATGAAACCCTGAATATTTTCACTAAAAACAATTTTAGCAAGGTTTCAAATTAAACCAGCCTCTAGTACAAGTTAAAATAGCAACTGAAAAATAAAATAGTTATAACTAGATAGAAGTTATGGCTTCCCTTACTTTTTTTGGAGCGGAGAGTAGTTAGAATTTAAAAGCAACCAACTGGCTGCCATTTCCAAAAAATATTTTCAAATGAAAGTGATAATTCTGTTTTGATGTCTTGATTCCCCCCCTGTTCTCTACCACCATATTTATATCTCCCTTTTTTCTGGCACAGAAGACTGTTGGTTCCTTGCTGCCCTGGGAGCCTTGACATTCCATCAAGACATCTTGGCTCTGGTTGTGCCAAAAAACCAAAGCTTTGATCGGAAGTATGCTGGCATTTTCCACTTCCGGGTGCGTCTCCTTCCCTATACCAATGAAAGTTCCCAGAAGGCATACTTTATGCTTTCTGGTTCAGTGAGCAGGGTGTTGTCTGCAGATATTTTATAGACCAGTTACTGTTACTCTCAGAGGGAGCTCTGTAAAGCTACCACTGGGGGGAGTTCCAACCCTATTCCCTATGAAATGGCCCAGTCGTAGAGTCAAATCAAAGTCACCTTTCTTGGGACAGACTAAAAGACTCAGCTCTACCTTCCTCTCAAGCTGTGGTTGTCCCTATCTTACTTCAGTCTCCATATCTCCCACTTGCACACTTCGGCTGCTACTAGAAATCTTTCCCTCAGGACCCTTCTGTCCCACACTGCTTCCTCTCTTTTTAGCCTGTGATCTACTCCCTTGCGCTTGGGTGGGGTTATCAGCTAGCCACAAGAGTGAGTCAGTAGATTCTTCTTGGCACAGTAGAATCATCATGCAATGATGGATTACTCTGGCAGCCTGTAACATGCCCATAGCTAATACATGCTTCCCTATATGCTACTAAAGGGGATTTACAACCTAGTGATATATAGCATTTTGCTTGATCATTTCTTGGAACAGTTCTGGCACTTTGGTGAATGGGTTGACGTGGTAGTAGATGACCGACTGCCGGTAAATGAGGATGGCCAGCTAGTTTTCCTCTCCTCTGTTTGCAAGAATCTCTTCTGGGGAGCCCTTTTGGAAAAGGCATATGCCAAGTAAGTGAATTGACTCTGTGGTACAGATAATCTCTTTACAATTTGTTGCCTTATGCACATGCAATTCTCCCTCTCTCAAGAAAAGACTTTTGGGACTTGTCATATTAGAATAGTAGCTCTGATCTTCAAACTTTTAAAATTAATAACTATTGCTATAGCAACTGCCACTAGCTTTGTAGGGAAGCTAAGGTATGAATAAGCATGGGAACAGAACTACAGTAAAAGCTTTGTTTTCCGGCACCCATGGGGAATGGAAGGTGCTGGATAACAAATATACTGGATAACTGAGTGGCCTGAACAGGCGTCTTTGCCTGTTCGGGCTGCCACTGGTGGGCACTTCTGGTTTCACTTTTCCATTATGAGCCCTGACAAGCCGGCATGCTGGTTAACAGAGCATGCTGGCTTGTAAGGTGCAGAATAACTCACTGTACTTGCTTAATAGGGCTGTGTGAAGCTGGGGTGGCTGATTCAATTCAAAGGAGATTCAGCCCGATTAGGCAGCCGAATATCCAAATCTGAATCAAATCAGGAGACCCATTAAAAGGTCCAAATTGATTCGGAAGCCTGGAATCGGTTCAGAAAGATTCAGAGCTTTGGAAGGCAGGCTTGCAGGAAACAGAAACTGAGAAGAGGGAGGGGGAAGACAAAGATGGGGAAGATTGCTCTGATATTGACATCTGTAGCTGGTCAGTGACTGTGATCTTTCCCTGAGTTCCCTTCCAATCACAGTGCTCTGGGGGAGGGACATCGAAACAACATATGAGGCTGTGTGTGAAGTGATCTGTGTCTTTTGTGAGCTGTCTCTCTCTTGGAAAAGTGGAGTCTGAAAGGCTCTGGCTTGCTATCTTGTCTCTTGGTAGCTAGTCTCTCTTCTGTTTTCCCTGACTGTGTGTCATCACTGTGCAGGAAAGCACAACATATATTAGAAATACACACACACATTTTGCAGCACACCAAGCATTATGAAGAGTGCTGGAAAGGCAGGTCTCCCTCTGCCCCCTCTCCCTCCCCTGCCAGAAGACCTAGCACCTGCCTTTCCAGCATGCTTCATAATGTTTCCAGCACTCTTCATAATGACACAGCTACAACCTACACCCCTGAACACACACAAGTGATACGAGTTTTGCTTTCAACAGTTTGAGGGGCACTTTCACAGAAACCCCTGCACATATCTCCTTGAAATGTGACAGGCTTCATGCCCTCAGAAGGTGCTACCATCCCGGGTGTTTTCATCTACAAAAAATAAAGGCAAAGTTATAGGTATTTTAGTGATTCTCCATTATAGCTTATGGCCAAGTCTCCAAATCGGCGCCATATCTCCGAATCCGAATTGGCCAAATTGAATCAGGACAGTGACTTGAATTACCTAATCAAATCACTATCCCTCCAAATAGGTTGAATCTGCATCGAATACTTGCTGCTTCGCACAGGCCTATTGCTTAACCCTTGGTCATCATGCTAGAGCAAGGTTGAAACCTATTGATTGTGGGGAACAGACAAGTTTGCACTGCCACTGCCTATGTTGTGCTCATTTGTGGATCTATACAGGACCTTAAGCAAAGCTGTTCAAATGTGGCTTGTGATTTGGGTGCCTCCATTTTTTGGGTGCCCAAACCAAGACACCTTACAGAAACCTCATCTGCAGGCAGGCTAAGCACACACCCTGAATGTTCAGGCCCTTCTCATTCTTTCATTTGGACTCCTAAATATTAAGCACTCAATAAACCACAAGTCACACTTAACAGTTTTATCCTCAGTCTCCAAGGCTGTCAGTGTAGCACCATTCATCAACACTAAGAAAGTAATTGCACTGAGAAGGACACAATAGAAGATATATAGTCTTCATAATCTTACAAGGAGATACTGAATCCACTTAATGTTTTTGGCCTGAATAATGACACCTAAGAATAGGAGAGAATGATAAATATGTATCAGAAGAGAGACAATAGGAAAGAGGAAAAATGAAGTTTTTGCTCTTCACACTAGTGTTGGGTGAAAGGGAGACAGGATGAAGTTTGAGAAAGTTTTATTTGGCTTTGGTATTCTGAGATAATATTTTAATGGTGAGGAAAATCAAGAGAAGGTTAAGGTCTTAATGAACAATACAATAGATGCTTCAAGTACTAGATATTTTCAGTTCCCTACCCCCTGCAAAGATGAGTAAATATGAAGTAACCTGGGATATACAGAACTGCAGCATATAGCTATGCTGGAATTACTGAGGTGATCCAGATGTTTTCTGTAGTTTTTATTTCAAAGGGCACTGCTTCTCCAATCACCTGGGCAGAATTGTCAGGGAGCTCCAGCTGACTGGAAAAAGTGTGTCCTTGGAAGTAAAAGCTGAAGCAAACAGCCAAGCATAATTTGGCAACCTATTGTGAACTAAGTGTGTTGTAAACTACCCCAATACTAGTGATGTTTATTGAGATGTTCAGGTGAAACTAGTTAACATACGTGTGTGGTAGGCATACTGTAGGGAAACCTTTACTAATTGCTTAGTGCAGGGGTTTGAACTGGAACTGGATGAAGCAATCACCTTCCAAACAAAGCCCTCCCTGGAATTAGTTATCTAGATCAGTGGTTCTTAACCTTTTCTGTACCAGGACCCATTTGTGAACATCAATAGCCAGTCCCAAACCAGTGCCCCTCCTTCCCAAACTGCTGCCCTATGCCCCTAGGCTCCAGTCCCCCAGTGTGTAGAGCTGGGGGTGGGTATATGGGACAGTGTGGGGGGACCCAAGCAGCCCTTGCAAGCTGGAACTCTGCTAGCCTGCAAGGGAAAAGCCACAATTTCCAAAGTTTTTCTCCTTTAAAGGAGAATCCATTTTTAAAGTTTACTGATCCATTTTTAAAGTTTGTTCATGACCCTTTAATATATTCCTGTGACACACTTTTGGGTCATGACCCATGGATTGAGAAACACTGATCTAGATCTCCCTCCACTTGAATGTTGAGGATTCATATAAAACCTTCAGTCTGATATTGCAGCCCACTCCTAATCCCATGCTCCTTTTTAATAGCAGTCCAACCCCGTCACCTCTGAATTTACAACTAAACAGCAGGTATTTTTGTATTTGTCTTGATAGGCTGTACGGCTCCTATGAAGATCTGCAGATTGGACAAGTGTCAGAAGCCTTGGTGGACTTTACAGGTGGAGTTAACATGGCAATCAAGCTGGCAGAGGCTCCTCCTGATCTCTGGGATATTCTGACAAGGGCAACCTACAGCAGATCTCTCATGGGTTGCCAGACCCATTTAGGGGTGAGAGCTGACTTGATATCATTTGGATTAATGATCAACACCTACTATGTTTTCCCTGGCTGGCAGTTGTTATGCAAATATTTTTCTCCTATGTTACCCTAATCTAGCTGTTTTATTATTTATTATTTTATTATTTATTTTAAAAGAAACAGATTTCTTGAAGTTCTGCACATTTGCTGTGCAAGTCTTAGGGTGAAGTTACACATTACACTTAGACTGTACTTAAATTTCCACTTTAAATAAGTGGACAAGTCGTGGCCAAGTGGACAGTAAGCTGAATATGAGCTAACAGTGTGCCTTTGTTGCCACGAAGGCTAATAGCATACTGGGCTGCATTGGTAGGAGCATTGCCAGCAGACCGAGGGAAATGATTCTTTCCTTCTATTTGGCATTGGTGAGGCCACACCTGGAGTACTGTGTCCAGTTTTGGGCCCCACTCTACAGAAAGAATGTGGACAAATTGAAGAGAGTCCAGTGGAGGGCAATGAAAATGGTTAGTGGGCTGGGACACATGATTTATGAGGAGACACTGAGGGAACTGGGCTTATTCAGTCTGGAGAAGAGAAAATGAGGGGGGATTTAACAGCAGCCTTCAACTACCTGAAGTGTGATTGCAAAGAAGATAGAGCTAGCCTGTCTCAGTGGTGACAGATGACAGAACAAGGAACAATGGTCTCAAGTTGGAGCAAGGGAAGTTTAGGTTAGATATCAGAAAAAACTTTCTCACAAGAAGGGTAGTAAACACTGGAGAAGGTTACCCCGAGGGGCTGTGGAAGCTCCATCCTTGGAGGTTTTAAAGACCCGGCTAAACAAAGCCTTGGCTGGGATGATCTAGTTGGGGATGGTCCTTTTTGAGCAGGGCGTTGCACTAGATGACCTCCTGAGATCCCTTCCAATCCTAATTTTCTATGATTTTATTATTCTATGAAATATGTGGAGTGTTCAGCATGTTCTATGAGCAGTTGCACATTAAGGACTAACACCATTTCTTGCCTGCACAGCACAGAGTTGCCACTAAAGGACTGGAAAGCAGGGGCATGGCTAGGAGCCAGAACACCTGGGCTCCATCCATGGGAGCAGTGCATCCTGGGATGCTAGAGGACTGCAGATTGCTTGTTTTGTATCTGGGGAGCAGACTGAAGTTACCCTAACATGATCTTGGTAGCACAGAGTTAACCCTCATCTGAAGTGGGGTAGCTTTGAGATGCTGTGAGGGAACTTGGCACAAGTTAATGAGCTGTAGTGTGGGGATGCTTGTGTTTTAAATACCCTTAGTATGGTCTAAGTGCAATGTGTAACTTCACTCTTTGTTCTGTCTGTTAACATGGCCCCCATCCCTCTAGTTTCTGAGCATCATGTAATCTTTAGTGTATTTTTCCCCACAATCTCCATTTGGGGTCTTTTAACTCTTAGACTGTTTTAGATGTGAGGAATTGAGGCACCGAAAGAATAAGAAATTTCTGTGCCAAAGGTCATACAGGAAGTTTTTTCCCCAGTCAGCTTGAAAGGAAAAGCCCCTTGTCTTATATTTGCAAGCAAGGAAACCTCATTAAATGCATTGTCTAACATTCTAACAGGATCCTGTACCTAGATCTTCAAAGTCTCAGGTTAACACCTGTGATATTTCTCTGAAGCAAATATTGTAGACTTTGATGACAGGAGGGAAGTTGACCTCAGATGGAGACCTAAAACATGCATGTGACCCCTACCTTTATAAAAGGTCAAACCAAATCCTCCAGTTCCAAATACTCCTTAAACTATGCAGTGTTGCGAGTCTAGAGCTGGATTTTGCAGGTCAACCTTGACTATAAGTTACTAGGGGTCAAATTCCATCTTCAGTGACACAGGACATCTCTCTGTGACTCCAGCAAGGGCTTTACCAAAGTAACTCAGGGCAGAATTGGTTTCAGTTGTTGTTTTGTTAATACACTTAATGAAGTTTTTTTTTTTTAAATCACATGATTGAAGGAAATAAAGGTGCTGGAGAATGGGCTGGTAGCTGGTCATGCCTACACAGTGACTGGTATTAGAAAGGTAAATACAACCCTGGTTTTCTATCTTTAGACTTATTTTGAATGCCAGCAGAGTGAGGAGTCACTACTCCTTCTAGGGATGAGTTGTCCTTTTGGCAGCCAATTATGGGCTGCTGTGCTGTCAGGAAGCTGACTTTGCCTTAAAATCAGCAGGGCAGATAGCAGTGAGGTGTCCTCACAAGTCTCCTTGGTGACCTTGTAGACTGCCCTGATCCCAGTGCCTTGTCTTGACTCTGGTTCTTGTTCTTGTGCTTCTGGGATCTGTGTCTAGCTTCTGACTCTTGGTTTGCTCCTGACCATAATTCTCAGTTTCTTGGTTGGATCTGTGGCCCCTGTGTCTGGCTTCCCAACCCTGGTTTACCTTACAGTTTTCTGACTAAAGGCTGGCCCATTGGGTGGTTGAATTATTTACCACTGAGCATCAGAGTGGGACCAGAGGATGAGGAAATTGTATGGAGCTTAGAGTTCTTTGCTGGGCATGGCTGGATGTCATGTGGCTTCCTTGGCTGATGCAGTGAGAAATGGGTGGGGGAGGAAACTCATGAGGCAGGGTACTGGATGTCCGTCCAGCTCTGGAAGGCTGAGAGATACAGATTGGCAGAAAGCATCCTGCCCCAAGTATGTGCATAAGGCAGGTTGCAGGACAGTCTCCACTTCCCGGAGAGGTGTGCAGGAAAGGGTGAGCAGCCCTGTGTACAAAGCAATGGCTGTAGGGTCCACCCAGTCTCACTGGCTGTAGTTCATGAGTTTCTGGTTCTGGTAACATCAGTCAGGACCAACCTCTGAGGGTTTTTCACGACCACTGCAGAGATGTGGCCTATGCAACAGGTGGCCAGCGAAGAGGTCCACCCCCTCAGGAGCTGCCATGGCCTGGCTGCTGAGACGGGCTCATAGGAGATTAAAAAGCTCCTGATTGTCTCAGAGCCCTTGGAGAACCAGGGATGGACATGGGCTAGTGTGCTCCAGGCCAGACTGTGAGCACTGTAAAAACATCTCCACAGCTGGAATGGATGGACCTGGTTC